TACCTATTGGATAGTATTTTATAGGTGATATATTTGACATAATTCTTGCCTTCAAGGACTTTCTATGTAGAGAAGACCTTCAATATTCAATAGATGTCTAGCCTTAAAAATGGTTTCATCTGCAGTATAGTTGACCAGGAAGATATTGGAAGAGCAACTGATTTTCCCTGGAGCTCTCCATGGTGCTTGCTCACGGTCGTTCAGCCTGTCCTGCTCCTTCCTTTCTCAAACTCACTCTCAGTTCAGAAGCCTGCACTCTGGTCCACTCTGCTGCTGCTGCTTCTCACCCTTTTGTGTGGCTGCCTGTTTATAACTAGAGAATGCCAGGAGGTGTCTAGTCTAACCTCATCTTTGCCTCAGCTCGGCTTAACACTACAGCAGCCTCTGAATTCCTGACTCAGACCCTTCTGCAACTTGACCAGCTTGACATTCTAACTCAGGGCAGTAATATAACACATTATAAACCTTTACAAATAACATGAATAAGTAGACTGTTTAAAATGCAACTCTTAGAATGCCAGGCTAATACAAACCCAGTTCAGTGCCTGTCTAGAAAATTTCCTGTTGTTGCTTGGAACCACTGTGTGGCTCCTTAATTTTCCTGTTGCTAACTACAGGAGCCATGAGGTTAGGATGCCTCTGTGTGGAACTGATACTCTAGATACTCAGTGGTGGAGAAATGCTTTTTGGAGCTAAATTCTCACTTTATTACAGCACACAGTTTAAATCTACATGATATAAAGATCAAATAGAAAAACATCGAAGCACTGGTTTTTGTCACACTAATTTAATTATGTATGTAGAAAAATGCTACTAAGATAGCTAAAATAATTCAGAAGGGAAGAGAGGAGTAAGAAATATACAGCTGGACTTGCCCTCTATTTAACTTAGTCATAGATTAGCTAAATTAGCTAAGTTTTCCTTGCCCCTCCAAGGCTTTCTTATCTTTTAATTCTCCTCCAGCCCCTCTCTGTCCATAACACATTAGAACCCAAAGCCTTCCCCCAATGCTTCTGGGGTTTCCTGAAGATTTACTTTGTTTTGGTCTCCTTGCCTCCAATTATTTGTGTGTCGATTCTAATCTTTTATGCCTCCATGTTGGGTAAACCTCAGTCCTTCAAAAATTTCAGGGAAATCCAGTAACAAGACCGCTTTGTGAATTCAGTAAATTTGACTGTAGATTTGGGGCTTATCTTGAAGTAACTTGTGTCCTTTTGCTCTCTCCTTGCCCTCCATTCTTCTTTTCTCTTTTGTTTTGCTTCTCTCCTGTGAATAGTCTCAGGAATTCCATATAGATATTCACTCAGCCGTGTCTAACTCTTTGCAGCCCCAGGGACACTAGGTTCTTCTGTCCATGGAACTTCCCAGGCCTGAATACTGGAGTGGGTTGCTACTCCTCCAGGGGATCTTTCCAACCCAGGGGATCAAACCCAGGTCTCCTGCATCGCAGGTGGATTCTTTACTGGCTGAGCCACCAGGGAAGTGAAATTCCTTATTATGTAGAGCAGTTGGGTATATTTCAGCCTTTACCCCCAAACCAGCATAATTCAGTTCATTGAAATGATCTTGAGAAGCACGTGGTGTACCTGTGGAGGTCAGTTTCTGGATCCTCACTGAATTCACATCCCAGCTCTGCTACCCACTGTTTATCTGTGACTTTGAGCAAGTGACTCTACTTTTCTGATCTGTGAAATGAAGCTAATAATACTATCATCTCAGATGGGCTTTTGTGGGGATTAAAGATGGTAATTTACATAAAAGATTTAGCCTCCTGTACAAAATGCATTTTGTGTATGTTGGACCTTTCTCCTTTTTCCAGTTACTGATACATTTCACCATTATTATTCCTAAAATCTTTTTGCTCCTATGACAATAATACTTGAAAGAGGGAGGTCAGCTAAGAAACAGACTAAAATAATAGCTTACTTTAAGACAACAGATTAAAATAATAAATTGTTAGCACTTTCTCATGAAGATATTGAATGTGATATTTTCTGTTCCTAAAATATTGTCAAAGTATTATTGTAATTCTTTTAAGAGACTGATTCAAGAATAACAAGTGAGTATCAGAGGTCATTTTTAACTAACTTAGTTTAAAATATTTCCTGGTATTATATTTTTAAATTATAATTGTGGTTTATTTGTGATATCTTTTGCTCCCATTACCCTAATTAACCCAGAGTTGGATGTCATTGTGCATAAAAACTAACTCAGTTGGAAATACCTTTTACTTACAAACCCTTTCAAATCCTATGCAGGGATTCCTACTGTTTACAGTATAATATATAAATAAGAAATTACAATCTTCTTTAATTATGTGTCATATTTTTAGCTTCTCTCAGAGTTTTCCTACGTCCTTATCCCCACCCACTTTGTTGGTATGTTATTTGGATCAAGATTAATTTACAATATTTTTTAGAGATTGTAAGGGACTCCCTATTCATCAACCCAGCTTTATTTTTAATGTGTTATTTAATACTGCTGCTGCTAAGTCGCTTCAGTCGTGTCCGACTCTGTTCAACTCCATACACAGCAGCCCACCAGGCTCCGCTGTCCCTGGGATTGTCCAGGCAAAAACACTGGAGTGGGTTGCCATTTCCTTCTCCAATGCGTGAAAGTGAAAAGTGAAAGTGAAGTCGCTTAGCTGTGTCCGGCTCTTTGCAACCCCAGGGACTGCAGCCTACCAGGCTCCTCCGTCCATGGGATTTTCCAGGCAAGAGTACTGGAGTGGGTTGCCATTGCCTTCTCCAAGAGATCTTCCTGACCCAGGGATCGAACCCGGGTCTCCCACATTGTAGGCAGACGCTTTATCGTCTGAGCTACCAGGGAAGCCCTCTTTAAGCATCACTTTAAAAAAAACTTTTAAGATATTAAGTGCCACTTTAAAAAAAAACTTTTTATTTTGTATTGAAATAGAGCTGATCAACAATGTTGTGATAGTTTCGGGTGGACAGCAGAGGCACTCAGCCATGCATAATACATGTCTCCAGTCTCCCCAAACTTGCCTCCCGTTCAGGCGGCCACTTAACATTGAGCAGAGTTCCCTGTAAGCACCGCTTTGGAAGTGGACTTAATATCAGTTGGTTTGTGCACAAAACACTTGGTAGATGGTTGGTACTTGATAGCAGTCATTAGGCGAAGTGTGTATCATATTTGTCCTTGATAACCTCTCAATAGCTGTTTATCATAGGGGACTTTCTGAGCAACAAGGCAACTAACAGCAATAGATGATGTCAATGAAAAAAATCGAAATCAACTCATAATATTGACTGTTTCGTTTCTCCTTGACGAGAAGCTAGTAAACAACAGTATTTTCAGTAAAGATCTCATTATTAAGGCATTTGAACATGGACTTCTCCAGGTTTTATATAGCCCTGTAGGAGATCCTTGATTTAAAATTGGATGATGACACATAGTTTCCTTTTATGTCTGTTAATTCATAGCACAGTTTCCTTTAGAAATAATGGAATAAGTGTACTGAGACTTCTGCACTTAAACCTACAGTATTTTGTAAGCCCTATTAAAATGAGCCATGGTAATTAGGAACATCATTTATGCTAAGAATACAACACATTTTTTGAGAAGATGTGGTTTGTTTTTTTCTTTCCCTTACCTTCATTTTCCTTTCCTTTGAGTTTCTGCAGGTTCTGCTCTGTCTGTAAGGAATATGATTGGTAGCAACAGGGACATACATATCTCCTCATCTTTTCTGTACTCATTGCCACAGGAGTCACAGTGATTTAGAGAAAACTGGGTGGTTTGCAGAGCCTTGTAGCCATATATAGCCATATATTACCATATATTATATGCATAGTCCTAGACGCCACTGACCAGTAAATTTTGACTGGAGCTCGGAGTCTGTATTTTTACAAACAACCCAGGTGATTTTGTGTAGGTGTAGGTATAGGTGGTCGTCAAATCATAATTAGATATTGAGGTAGAGGCTCACTCTGACTTACCTTGCCCTTGGAAAACAATCTATCATAGTGGAAATGAGTCCAGAGTCTGATCTTGGGGTTAAAACCTGACTTCTGCATTGTTAGGAAAGTTGGGAAACCTTGTGAACTTGGGCAAGGTATTTAATGCTTTGGTGCCTCAATCTGTTTATCTGTGCCGTGGGGCTAATGATGGTATCTACCTTATACAGTTGTAATGAAAAATAAGCCAATGTATGCAAAAAGTCTGGGCACAAAGAAAGTGCCCAATAAATGTTAGGGTTTTATCCTGTGGCTGTAATGCAAATTATTTATTATTTATGCACATAGAGGTGACTTCAGCTCTCAGCTATTCAACATCTTGTTCATCTCCTTTAGGAGGTTTTAACTGAACTAGACCTAAAGTCTGTGCTCCTTTAATATACATATTTCTTTTCTCTCTATCTTTTCTGTAATTCTATCACTGCATTTACTATATCGTATTGAAGATTTCTCTTCCTCCATCTGACTTCTTCACTGGCCATAAACTCTTAGAGGGTGAGGATCTTATTTTTTCACTCATGCTTGTATCTCGTGAACTGAGTGCCTTGACTGGACACTGCTGAGCTGAAGATACTGGTCGGCTAAAAGCTAGTTGATAATTTCCTCTTGTGCTTGTCCTGGCTGTATCTTCCCTGAGCAAAGAGAAAGGAAATATTTTCCATAATAGAACCTGGATGATGTTTAGGGGAGAAGATTTAGTCACTCATTTATTTCATGAATATTCATTTCTTGAACATCCACCATGTGAATCAAATCCATTCACTATGACTATGCTTCTCTATCTTTTACCGCTGAGCATGCAATAGAATACTCAATTGTATAGCCTTTAGGCCTCTGGATATGTATCGCAAAACTTGCATTGAAGGTACGGAATCACAGTTAAGTTCAAAACACCCAGATAAAGGCCACAATGAACAGTTCAGTCTAACTGAACACTCTACAGTTTTTTATACTGGTTAGTGTTTAGTGTGACCAGCACCCTGGATTAACTACTGATGGAATTTTTCATTAAACATTTTTCAGACGTCGAGCACTGGAAGACACTCTGTTCGCATCACTGGCCTCAGTACTATTGATTTTCGAGCTGGTTTTTCCCGAAAGCCCACCCTGGACTTCAAAAAAACAGTCAGCAGACCAGTGCAAGGTTTGTATGTGTGCATTAGTTCAATTGGCATAGTAGATATTGAAGTGCAAAGTATTTCTCAGACTGTGGTTTTGTAATTTTTTAGTTCTTCAATAAAATTGGGAAACATGGCCTCTTTATTTGAAATATTATTACACTTCTGTCATAGTCATTGTTTCTCAAAGTATGGTCCAAAGACCAGTGATATTGAACTCACTTAAGGAGCTTATCAAAAATTAAGATTCCTGGGGCCTACCTCAGATCTCCTGAATGAAAATTATAGACAGTAGGTCCAAGTTTTGTTGTTTAGTCACTAAGGCACATCCAACTCTTTTGCAACTCCATAAACGGCCGACTGTGTCTCCTCTATCCATAAGATTTCCCAGGCAAGAATACTGGAGTGGGTTGCCATTTCCTTCTCCAGGTCCCAGGAGTATACACTTTAACAAGCACCTCATTGATTCCTATACTTATACTAAACTTTGCAAACTGCTGACCTAGATCTTGGAGCTTTTTCTTACTAGCATCTTACTTGCCTATTGTCAAGGTGAAAATATAGTGTGTGTGTGTGTGTGTGTGTGTGTGTGTGTGTGTGTGTGTGTGTATAGTTAAAACATTGAAGATATCACGTAGCATTGTATGTTCCAAGATGAAGTTATTATTGATTTGAAAGGTACTTTTTCACCTTATCTTTATTCGTGCAAGATTTATAGCTCTGTAGCTGAAGAGAAGGCTTAGTCTTACTGTGACTAAATTTTTTTTTCTGATTGTTCTTTTATTTTTATTGCTTCAGTTACTAGAAGGTTACAAAATAGTGAATCTTTAAAAATATTCATGTAATCAAATATATTAGACAATATTCATAATTCTAATTTTCTACATATAAACATGATTAGATAACTTAAAAATCATTATCTATGGTTTCCTGTATTTCTCTGGTCATAAATAAACTGTCTTTTATGTAGAAAAGATTCCAGAGCGGGGCCACAGTTTTTGGCACAGCCGATAGTATTCATACATACGATCCTGGTTACCTGTTGTTACAGTACAAAACTTAATAAATAACCTTGGGTGCATGTTACTTATAAATGATAAATTCTTTCTCTTGTAGGAATACCTACCTATGTGCTGCTGAATACTTCTGGAATTTCCATCCCAGCTAGAGTAGATCGTCTTGAACTTCTGAGTATCTCAGGCAGTTCTCTTAAGACTATTCCTGTTAAATATTATCCTGAGAGAAAACCTTATGGCCTATGGAATATTTCTGATTTTATACCACCAAATGAAGCTTTCTTTCTCAAAGTAACAGGCTATGATAAGGATGATTTTCTCTTCCAGAGAGTGTCAAGTGTTTCCTTCTCTAGTATTGTCCCAGGTAAGATGTCACTTTATTCATCACTGGAGTATTGATAGTTTAAGGGGTTTGTGTGGTCCTATAGGTATAAAATGGACTCTAAAGTAAAAAATAATATCCTCACATTATTACTGAGTCACTATGTGGAAAAACATTTACACATAGGTAACACAACTTTTCTTAACCATAAAATAGACATTCAAAATTTCATGTTAAATCACACTAATTTGTAGATCTGAGAATCTTAGTAGATTCTAAATCTGTAGATCTGAGAATCTTACTTCAATCAGTGTAAGAACTTGAACTGGGAATTTCTGATGCTCTTCCGTTCAGTTGATCAGTTGTGTCCAACTCTTTGGGACCCCATGAACTGCAGCACACCAGGCTTCCCTGTCCATCACCAACTCCCAGAGTTTACTCAAACTCATGTCCATCAGGTTGGTGATGCCATTCAACCACCTCATCCTCTGTCATACCCTTTTCTCCCGCCTTCAATCTTTCTCAGCATCAGGGTCTTTTCAAATGAGTCAGTTCTTTGCACCAGGTGGCCAAAGTATTGGAGCTTCAGCTTCAGCATCAGTCCTTCCAGTGAATATTCAGGACTGATTTCCTTTAGGATTGACCAGTTTGATCTTGCAGTCCAAGGAACTCTCAAGAGTCTTCTCCAACACCAGAGTTCAGAGGCATCAATTCTTCGGCACTCCGCTTTCTTTATAGTACAACTCTCACATCCATACATGACTACTGGACAAATCATAGCTTTCACTACACGGACCTTTGTTGGCAAAGTAATGTCTTTGCTTTTTAATATGCTGTCTAGGTTGGTCATAGCTTTTCTTCCAGGGAGCAAGCGTCTTTTAATTTCATGGCTGCAGTCACCATGTGCAGTGATTTTGGAGCCCAAGAAAATAAAGTCTCTCACTGTTTCCATTGTTTCCCTATCTATTTGCTATGAAGTGATGCTCTTACTCCCCATAAAAAGCCTGGTACTTGTGTTTAATGTTTGATTAAGCTGTCTGATCTGGCTAAAGTTTATATGTGATTATCAGAAACCTTCTATATAATAATCAATACTTCATTGTAAATAACATGATGATTTTGCCTTTATTTGGTTAGTTGGTTGGTTAGTTAGTTAGTAGGCTAGTTATTTATATATTTGCTATTATTTCCAAATGCTGATGACTGAATTTGACCAAAACTTTAAAACCGTGTGTAGCTTGAACCATGGTCTGACACAGATATCAGTCAGTTCAGTTGCTCAGTTGTGTCCGACTCTTTGCAACCCCATGGACTGCAGCACGCCAGGCTTCCCTGTCCATTAGCAGCTCCCGGAGCTTGCTCAAACTCATGTCCATTGAGTCAGTGATGCCATCCAACCATCTGTATCCAACAGATATAGAAAGATTGATTCTAATATTGTCCTACTGGATGAAGCAGTAACAGTTTATCATTTATATAGAAGGTTATCATTTGGGAAATTCAGGAACAACTCTATTGTTTAATGCTGAAAAAAGATCATAGTAAAACCAACCTCAGTGTTTCCTCATAGACAGTATTCAGAGTTAGTTGCTTTAGCCCCTGAATTGAATGCTTAAAAAAATGACTGGATTCTTAAAAAATCAATTTTTTCATTCTTTTTCTGGAAACAGTTACCCTATGAATTCAATTCTAAGCTATGTGGGTTCTTACATACCTTTACATTTTCAGAATTAAACTCTCTTCTACATTTGATGATACTTGATAACTTATTTGGTAATTTTGTTTTCTGTCTTGCTGGTACATAAAAAAAAATTATGCCTTAAAATCAGTGCAGTCATAGATTCAATGAGTACTTTCTGGAGATAATCCAGAAATTAATAAACTCGGAACAAAGAAAGATAATTAAAGTGATTTTTAGTGATTTAGGTTAATTGGAATGCAGAGAATTTACTGGAATAGTTTAAGCATGAAGCTTTTGAATGGATTAATAGGAAGTACCAAATATCATTGTGACCTTCTTGCCCATGTTCTTCTTTTCCCAGATGCTCCAAAAGTTACAATGCCTGAGAAAACCCCAGGCTACTACCTGCAGCCGGGCCAGATTCCCTGCACTATTGACAGTCTTTTGCCTTTTACCTTGAGTTTTGTCAGAAATGGAGCTACACTTGGAGTCGACCAGTATTTAAAGTGTGTAAATGCTTCTATTAGTAATATTTTATAGCATGAAACATCCAAAATACAGATAGATACTTATGTTAGTGTACATATTCATTATACATTCTTATTTGCTTCATAATCTTGGAGTATAGCACTGAACAAAACAGACACGATTCTGTACCTTTGTGGAGCTTATATTGTAAAGAAAGAAGACAGGAATAGATAATAAGTATTCTATGGTAATATAATAAATGCTAGAATACATTTAAGAGTTGATTCCAGGTTTTATAGAATCTGAATTTTATAATTTGAGGGTCCCTTGATAAGACAAAGAATACAAAATTATGAATACAAAGTTAGGTACAAGAGCCCTTGCAAATGAAAGACCCTGAAGTTTAAACTTGAGTGGCTTGAGGGTAAATATGTCTCTGAATCTGATTTAAAGTGTTATGATAAGTGAATCTGATGTGTTGCAGTAAAAAGTAGAGCAGGTTATTTCAGGCACATAATTACTGCTTGGTGGACTACATGTGATTTAGGCCAAGTTGTAATTTTAAAATTCACAGTAGAGACATTTGAGTAAGGACCTGAACATGGTGAACGAGATGGTCTTGCAGGTATCCAGGGAAGAGTGTTCATATACCAGGAACAATCATTGCAAGTGCACTAAACCAGAGGCCCCCAGGCATGTGGGAAGGAAAGACAGGAAGAAGCCAGTGTAGCTGGAGCCCAAGGATCCTGGAGGAGAAGGGTGAAATGTGTGCTGGGATGCTGTTAGGAGACATAAGAGACTGGGGTTCCATCTTTTGGTGGGTAAGATCCCCTTGAGGAGGGCACATGGCAACCCACTCCAGTATTTTCGCCTGGAGAATCCCATAGACAGAGTAGCCTGGAGGGTCACAGAGAGTCGGACACGACTTAAGCTACTTAGCACATGCACACACACACACACTTCAGCCAAAAATCAATGGAAGTCGGGTAGAGGACACCAACTTTCCTTGAGAAGACTGGTGAATTTTCCAGACAAATTTAAGTCATCTAATGATAAATGTTAAGTAGGCCTTGAAAAACTAGAGGATGATTTCTGGAAAACTTTTTTTCTTTTCTTAGCTTACTGTCAAACAAACTACATTTAAGGAGAATAACTCTTAAGTATTATTTTATAAAACTTTCAGACTGATAAGTCAACATTCACATAAATTAGCTTCTGTAATATGTTAATTTTTGACAAATTCATACAATCTCCTCATGGGGTCATTTAAAGCAAAAGCTGTGGCAAGAATGTTTATCATAACTTGAGACAATTTTCCATTAGGTAAAGATTGGACTTATTATTTCCTGCTACTTTCTTAACATATGTCTTGATGATTTCCTTAGCTGCATAGTTAATAACCAGCAACATTAGCTGACCAAGATATCAAATGACAAACTTACATACCTAACTGATGAAATCAAACAATTCTGCTTTGGATTTAAATAGTAACATTTCTGAAAGTTACTTGAGATTCTTTATAAACATTAATTTATTAATTTCACACAATTTCTCTGAGGTAAACCACAAGGATTCTTTCTTGCATTTTTCCAACTCTGTGGCCCAGAGATGTGACATGCCTTGCTGACATTTGTTAAGTTCTTTAGATGTAAGAGTCTAGAGACAAAATTGGGCATGGGTGATGATGGATTTGATATTCTAATCCCAGTTCACTCACACATCTCTGCCCTAGATTCCCTAACAGCTCCAGATGCATGACTGGATCTTTGTTATGTGAGTCACGATGGTTTCTAGGGGATGTGGGAGAGAATTAGTTTCCATTAACAACAAGACTCATTTCTAACTGACGTGTTCCTTTCCCTGTTCCAAAGGCCGTTCCTTCAAAACTTTTTATTATGACCATACAATCTTAGTGAACTTCCCTGGTGGCTTTTTATGGTAAAGAATCTGTCTGCAATGCAGGAGACCTGGGTTTGATCCTTGGGTTGGGAAGATCCCCTGGAGAAGGGAATGGCCACCCACTCCAGTATTCTTGCCTGGAGAATTCTATGGAGGCATCTCCTCGCCATGGACAGAGAATAATGCCTGCTGATAAGGCTACATGAAAAGGAGAATTGTTTTCATGTAATAATTTCATAAACAAGATAGGAATAAATATAATACTAAAGAATATTCTCTAAGCAACCCATACACTGGTTACGTGCCTTTGAATAAATTACTTGTTCTTCTCCCTGGATCTCAAGTATCTTGCTTTTAAAGAAAGGGCCCTAAGACCAGAAGAATTGCCACTTTCTATTCTAAAATTTCCATGTGTCTTAAGTTTTTGATGAATCCTGTATACTTGGCTCTGAAGTAAGCACTGCAGAAGGCACAAAAAATGTGTGTAATTCAAACTTCAACCTGCCTGGAACTTACCAGTACCTCCTAGATAATGGCATTTGTAAACTTGGGCTTAGCATATTGCTCTAAAGCATTCAAGATGCATCTTAGGTGATCAGTGCAGCAAAAAGTAAGTCATACTCCATTTTCTTCTCACAGTGACAGTAAGGACCACTGACACCTAATGCAGAGATGCATGTGAAAGGAAACAGTATTAACTGAAGTACATATTCTCAGTTACTAAAATATATGGAATGGTCACCTTGCTTACTTTCTCACTTTCCTGATGGCAGGAATCTGTGTCTTGACTTTCTCTTAAAAACTATAGGTTAGTGGTAAATGTACATTAAGAGCTCAATGAATTCTTTATAGTGATTTGGTGATGAGTACTGTTCATTTGAATTGGGAGGGCTCTGGAGTTATTACTGTGAGAAATATATCTTGTACCATTTTCAGCTTCAGTGGAAGATGTCTTGACTCTGCAGTGGGTCATTTTATCCATATCTTGAATGTTTAAAAAATGTTGTAAATATCTATGGATGATTATAAGAAAAAATATGAAAATATTTATGACATTGCAATCATATGTTAGAGCAATATAATGCTTATCTTATAGGTTATCAGAATCTTTTAAATAAGAATTAAATGGCTATTACTAAGACACTTCCAGAAGATGAATAACAGTTTGAAGTGTTAGAGGACATGTGTGCTAAGTTGCTTCAGTTGTGTCTGACTCTTTGTACCCCATGTTACAAAGCCCACTTTACTGTAGCCCACCAAGCTCCTCTCTCCATGGGATTCTCCAGGCAGGAACACTGGAGTGGGTTGCCGTTTCCTTCTCCAGCGCATGAAAGTGAAAAGTGAAAGTGAAATCGCTCAGTTGTGTCCGACTCTTAGCGACCTCATGGACTGCAGCCTATCAGGCTCCTCTGTCCATGGGATTTTCCAGGCAAGAGTACTGGAGTGGGGTGCCATTGCCTTCTCCGATTTATTAAATGAGTGAATATATAACATAGCACAAAGATTTGTTTTACCTAAATGACAACTTTGACTATAAAACTGATCGTTTTCTTTTGTTTATTGTATACATATATTGAACCAGATATGGTATATAGTCTTCTGTGGAGCTTATACATAAGAAAGTTGAAGATAATTTATCTTTTTGAGAACCAAAAATTCTGTTTTCTACCTTCACACTTGTTAATTATCTGGTTCAGTTGCTTTGGCTCAATCCCACTGAAAATGACCAAAAACTCAAAAAGAGAAGGGAAGGAGAGAAGATTTAAGGAGTGTTTTTCTGCCAGTTTTTAAAAATCTTATTTATTTAATTATTTTGACCTAGTCAGAGAATATTTTCCTAAAGAAATTTATAGTCTCCATAACTTGACAGGCTCAGACTGTATTTCTAAACAGCAAATGTAGAGGCCTGATCAAAAAATAATAGTAAAAATAATAGACATATGAATGTGAAAAAAGTGAAAATTAAAAGTGGTAAAATTATTAGCAGTTTTTTTTTAAATGACCTTTGAGAAAAATTAAAGATGTCTCCCTGATATTTTCTCAGTAAAAAAGGTTCATTCTTCTGTCCACAGCCTCTTTAAAGTTATACATTTGGAAACGATTTCTCTTGTTAGAACCTAGGAAGATCAATAGAAAAAAACAAAACCAGTTACTGTCTTTGTTTTTCGCTCAGATTAGAGAAGCTTAACTTTCTACTTAAAATATAAAAGGTGTATAGTTTTAAGCTACAAAGAAATCTGCAGTTTAATCAACTTACTTTATTTAAACTGTTTTCTTTATTCATTTGAATGAATAGACAAATAGTGGAATCACTGCTTTCAGCCTGGTCTTGTTTTTGTAGTAACTAAGCATGGTTTTATGTTCTTACCCCAGAGAATCCGCCAGCGTGACCTGGGATATTGAAGAGGTCACTCTGTCTGACGAAGGCGCCTATGAGTGCATTGCTGTCAGTAGTGCGGGGACTGGACGAGCACAGACGTTCTTCGATGTGTCAGGTAATTATCACTAATTGCTTGGCAATTGCCTCAGTATCAATGCAGGTATGGAAATGGGATGTTTGTTAACCAGGCTTTCCTGTGTATTAACTGTGTGACCTGCCTTGGACCAGTTAAGAACTCAGTGCCTTGGTTTTCCCACTGTAAAATGATGATAATAGCAGTAATAGTCTCTTTTTTCATGGAGAAATTATGAGGATTAAGTGAGATAGTATATGTTAAGCACTTAGAATAGAATCAGGCACATAGAAACAACTAATAGACATGAGTTTTTAAAATTATTGTTGTTATTATTGTAGGGGTTTAATATTTTGAAATCCCCATATGTCATTCTCCTTTGAGAAAACAAGTGAGAAATCCATTTTTGGAATAGCAAGGTTCAACTTTCCCTTTCTCTTCCCATATTTATAATATGCAAAGTGCTTTTGTGAATGGATTCTGGCATCTGAGTTGAAGACAATAAGTATCATATTCAAAAACATAGGACCTCAGTGATTACAATATTGGGATTGAGAGGGACAGAAGTCATGCTAATTAATTCACATTTAAATAGTAAGTTTCCCATAAATGCTTCCCTGGTGGCTCAGGGGGTAAAGTGTCTGCCTGCAATGTGGGGGACCCGGGTTCAATCCCTGAGTCAAGAAGATCCCCTGGAGAAGGGAATGACAACCCACTCCAGTATTCTTGCCTGGAGAATCCCATGGACAGAGGAGCCTGGTAGGCTACAGTTCATGGGGTCGCAAAGAGTCAGACATGACTGAGCGACTTCACTTTCTTTCTTTTCCTATAAATAGACAGGGCTCTGATTATATTATCATTTTTCCTCCAATCTCCCAGAATTCTTGAGAAACCAAAACAACTGCCATATATTATCAGTGATCAAGATTAAGCTACCTACTCATCATGTATCTAGAATTTATTGGAAATTTTGTTTTGACTCAGTTATTTTCTGCCTGCCTCATAGCCTAGGGCTAATGTGTGTTTAATAGTAACCCTATTTTGACCTAAACGTGCCTGTGGCGTTTTCTTATAACAATATCTGAACTGTCAGTTTGTGCATCTGAAATGTCAGATGTGCATGTTCTTGGAAAAATTTAAGACAAAAGAAGCTTGATAACTGTAGGACTGTTTAGAAGCCCAGAGTTTACGTTTATTATCAATAAGTTCAAGCTGAACTTTTAAACTGAGGCATGCAAGCCTGTTCTTCTTGCAGTAAATTATTTGTATTCTCTTATTCTTAGAAAAATAAAGTTTGTCTTCTGAAACTATTTAGCAAGTTGACATACATCATAAACTATTCATTTTTTCATCTCCAGTAATTATGAAAAGCATTGGAATCATGTCAACATTCCTCAGCTTCTGGGAAAACAAACACTTGAGCACTTGAGTTTTTTCCCAGCAATATTAATTAAGAGAAGGACAATAGGGAAAAGAGATTTCAGTGAGTGGACTCAGGCGTCTCGCATAAATAACTGGGAAGTGCCAGAAAGGCTTGTGAACTGACTGCTAAGAATTTGGCCCTATGGTGTCAGTAACTTCTGAATATACACACTACACATGCCCTTGTAGTGTTAATCTGTGCCAGCCAACCCATGGTATCACCAGGAAGTTGTACTATGCCAAAGCCAATTTTCAGGAATTGTGTCCCATTTGCTTAATTATGAAAGAGGAGGCAGAAGTATGAATGCTACGGCAATTTTGGAATTGGAAGAGTGGACATTTCTTTCTGAACTTTTTTTTTTTAACCTACCAGCCTTAAACTTCCACCCAGGCCCTGGCTCAGCCATCCTACTGTTCCTACTAACTAGCACAAGAGAATCAGCTGTTTATTCATAGGATAATTAGGTGTTATATTTTGACAGGAGTGTTGGGAAGCACAGCATGATGGGATGGTGATGTTTTACTGGGTCACTGTGGACATTATTTTATAAAGTCACCCGAGAAATGTTTCAAGGAAAATTAAAGTTCTACTAATATGTTACTTCAATATTTTCAGCATTTTCTTCCAGCCAACAATTTTAAGGATTTTAGGTTCATTGGAAATATTGATCTTGATAATTTTAAATGCCAAATGAGTGTAAAAAGAATTATACTTCTTTTTCATTGCATATAAACATATAAAAACTAATGAACAGAACTGCAGAAGCAGGAAAAACTCTTTACACATGGCATTTGGTACTTTAGTACTAGTATGAAGTTATATTAATTTTCCCTACTGAATTTATTTATTAGCATAATGTCCCTCCCCAACACACACACACACACACACACAACCAAAATTTTGGCCTTAAGTAAAATTGAATCCAGAAAACTTGTCAGGCAATCTTAAATGATAATTACAGGATACTCTTTTAGAACAGGGTAAGGCATGGAAATAATATTGTACCACCTCATCACTTTGTAGCTAAAGAAGCAGAAAGATGACGTGGGTCGGTGGTGAGAGGTGGATTCCTGGCCTCCCGACTTTCAGTCCAGTGAGCCTTACTTAATGTCACAAGGCCTATACTTATCATTCTTTCTCAGTTTTGAGATTCCACCTCTGGTCCCCTAATCTTAGCCTCAGCCATTCTTTCACTTAGGAATGACTGCCCCTCATCCTATTGAGACCAGGCTGTTTCCAGTAGTTTGTTATCTTAGCCTCTCCTGTAAACTGCCGTCATTCTTCATCATCTCTCCATCACCACCCAGTTTATTGATGCATGCATAAATATTTCAGTGCACATAATGTTTATCATCTCCAGATATTTATGCAGCAGTGGTATTGGGTGTCATGTTTAAAAGCTCTTCTACCCCTGGATATTAGTAGAAAGCTGGCATTTGACCTACTTGAATATATATTTGAAGAGGAAATAGACTCTAAGGCAGATTATGCAAGCAATAGAGTTATTGGGGAGTTTTCTAGGGAAGAGCACCCGCAAAGGAGTGGAAGAAATTACATTGTGATGCAACCACAACAGGGGCCTCAACTAATCCTACAGGGAGCTTTGATGATGGGATGACCTTGAATTGAGGCAAGAGAGCTGTGTGTTTTCCCTTTATAAAGTGGTCACCAGAAGTGGGCAGCAGTGCAAAGGGAGCCTGACTGGGCATGTCAGCTCCGTTGGCTCTGAGCTCAGTAGTTAACAAGCAGAGCAGTTAGGGAAATGAGTGCCTAGATTCTTGAGAAGGACCTAGGCGAGCACCTGGCATCCCCTGTGTGCTGATAATATGGGATTTTACAGTTTCTAAACATCCCTAGTCTAACTGAAGAAGGTTGTTTAAAAAGAACAACAGCAAAAAAGGAAACTACACAATACATTTTGTGGTCTTCAGGAAGATTTTGCTAGAGTGTTAACACGTATTCTTAAATGCTCACTTCTGGGTCTTTGGTCCATATTGTCTTGTATGTTACAGTCACAGAGCCTTGGTGCTAGAAGGGTCTTTTGGATTACCCAATTTAATCATCTCATTTTTCAGGTAGTGAAACATTGTGAATATATTGGCTTTTCTAGGGTCGTCCAGGTAAATTTGGGTAAAATTAGGAAGCCTATGTTTGCCAGATTCAGCAAGTAAAAATACAAGATGTCCACTTAATGTGACTTTCATATAAATATGTCTCAAAATATTTCATGAGAGATACAAAAATATTATATAATTATATAATAATATATAAAGTATATATTATACAATAATATTCAATACCTGAAATTCAAATTTAGCAAAGCATCCTGCATTTTAGTTGTCAAATCTAACTAGAATTCAGTCAAACCTTTCTTACTTTCTCATATAACTCTCTCCAAATGATTCATTAACTTTTCATAAGAGGTTTTAAAAACATAGCAGAATGGTAAAAATTATGGATTTTTAAAAAATAATTTAAAATAGCATATATTCCTCTAAAAATGTTTGGAAGACAAAGATAAATGTAAAGGAAAATATGAAAAAATATACATATTTCCTTCTCTCAGAGATAACCACTATTTTTTGGGCATATTTCTTCCCAGGTTTTGTTTTAGGCTTAAAATATTTATCTATATGGTTTTGAATAAAGTTGGATCCTGAATATCTGATCCTCTTCCACATTTCAACTGAAACAGATGCATGGCTTTCCAGCTAGTTTTTAAATGCTGTTATTGCCCAATAATGTGTTGGGATGGCAGGTTATTTTAAAGCTTTTGGGCAGAGTGAGCTTTACAGGGCATTTAGGTTTATCCTCAAACCTAACCAGAGCAATATGTGATTTTCTCTAGAAATGCTGGTTAAATATTTAATTGGTAAATGGCTTTTGACCGCATCTGAAATGAGCATGCCTCACTCAGTGCCTTTTGTGTACATGGTCCTATGTATATAATTTTATTAAAAGTCAGTCCCTACTGTTAACTTGAATTTCTTAAACATTCTGCTGCTTCTCTGGGGGGATATTCAGTTTACTCTACTGTTTCACTGTGTCTTAATGAGGTGATAATCTCCTTAAAGCTGATGCCGTTGTATCTTTGCCATATCTCCCATCCTTCATTTTCTGTTTTCTTTAAAACACTAAATCATGGTTTTAAATTTAAAAATCCATAAATGCTGCTTTCTTCAAAATTTGACAGACTCTGCAATGCTAAAGTCAGCATAGTCATATCCTTTTGCCATGCCTCTTTGATGCTCACAGCTGTAATTTATAGATTTGGGTTTTAGTGTACTTTGGTATGTAAACATGCATTTAAAGCATTTTTCAACTAGGTGATAATGAAATTCTCCAGGCCAGAATACTGGAGTGGGTAGCCTTTCCCTTTTCCAGGGGAATCTTCCCAACCCAGTGATCGAATGCAGATCTCCCGCATTGCAGGCAGATTCTTTACCAGCTGAGCCACAAGGGAAGCCCTTTTGATCACCCCATTTATATTAATGAATAAGTTCTGTTGTACTGCATCTTTCCTACCGGATATTCAATACATTCTCATTTAAATTTTAAGCCACCTCTATGAATGAGTAAAATGACTTCTGGATCTTTCAACTTGAATCTTCTTGTTTCACACAGAGCCCCCACCAGTCATCCAAGTGCCTAATAATGTTACAGTTACTCCTGGAGAAACCGCAGTTTTGACGTGCCTTGTCATCAGTGCAGTGGATTACAATCTAACCTGGCAGAGGAATGACAGAGATGTCAGGCTGACAGATCCAGCAAGAATGAGGATCTTGGCTAACCTTTCCCTGGAGCTCAGGAGTGTGAAATTCAGCGATGCAGGAGAGTATCGCTGTGTTGTTTGCAATGAAGGAGGATCATCGACTGAGCCCGTTTTCCTCACAGTTCAAGGTACTGTGCTGACAGTGACTTCTGAGTCATGGTATCTTTCTGTTTTCCTTCTTTGATCTCTATTCCCTTAAGTTGTCCATCCAAGGTCCTCTACCCAGACAATTACAGTTTTGAAGGATAGGATGCTATGGATCTTGAGGGTCTGAAGGTGAGTAAGCTGGAAACTAAAACATCACTAGCAAGTAGTTAACCTTAAACACAGTTAATCCTAGTAATTGAAGACCTTTATTTTAATGGAGTAGAAATAGAAATAGTCTCCGGATGATTTAATAGTTTTAAAATTTCTTATCTATGTTGTGAAGTTGGGGAAAAAAAAAAACCTTTTAATTGGTTAAAAAAAAAAAAGGCAAAGTTCCTAATTTGAGTGCATTATTTGGATATTTAATTTACTTTTATGGTTTTAATTAAGTTTTAAGATGTTTCTATCAAGGTGAAACTTTAACAAAGCTGTTTTTACCTTATTTATCTTAGACACATATGCAAACACACACACACAAAGGGCACTTACTGAAAATAATGATAAACCAGTTTTAACTGTCTGTATAGACTAAATGAGATGTTCAAATAGCTAAAAGCAAGTGTGTTAACACTGTGGTCTAACTGATACTAAATAGGTTTTTATTCCAGATTAACAAATGAAGATCAGAAGCTATTCCCAAGTATCTCTTTCAGTAGAATCCTATTTGGCTTCTAAATGTCTCTAGAGTCTTAATGTAATGAGCAACTTACTATTGGCAGTTTTACACTATTTAGCTGAAAGGTTCAGTTGCTGCCTTAGGAGAGTATTTTATTTCAAGTCCTTGATGTGGGAGATTGATTGCATCAGAATCAGGTCTGGCTACTTGGTTATGGTACTAGAAACAACTTTATAACATGCCTCACTTGATTATAATGTTGTTGTTTAAGAAAGTTACCACTGAGTTTTGAGGTTAGCTCTTGGAATGCTATTAATGGCCAAAAAAAAAAAAAGTGAAACTACCATGAGACTTAATAAAATGGTTGACATCTGATTCTGGTTTTCTCACTGGTATTTGAGATATATACTGCAATCTGACTATATGACTGTGCGTCTTTCGTTAGTTAGTTGATCTGCTGAAACCTCTGGGGAATGTTGCTTTTGTAAATGGTTCACTGCATTTCCACATAGTAAATGGCCTAGGTATTTGAGTCAAAACAAGTAGTAACTTTAGTTACTAGAGTTTTGGAAGTATTTTTTACCAAACTGATTATTTTAGATAGGATACATGCTAATGGACTTCTGAAATATAACCTTGGTTCTTTCCCTTAAGTCTGTTACAATGGGATTTTAAAATAGAATCAGAGCCTTCCTTGTTTCCCCAGGTCAACTGTTTAGTCCTTTAGTATTGCTTAGTCACTTTGAACAGTGGTTCTCAAACATTTATGGATGAAGACTTATCTGAGGAACTTTTTAAAAATCAAATTTCTTACTTCATGCCCAGAGATTCTGATTTCACAGGCCTGGGTTAAGGCCTGAAGATCTGCATTTATAACTGACCTCTCAGGTGGTTTCATGGACAACATTTTCTAAAACAGTATTTGAATCTATTCTAAAGTTTGAACCTATGACATAGAAATGAATATTTTTAAAGGAAACCCTAAAACTTGATCTTCTTTGTGGTAAGTAGACTTATAGCCTAACAATTTAAGTTCTGAGGATAGATGTCATAAAATATACAAAATATAAATTAAAAAGACATATGTCATCATATGATTACTGGTTAGCTTGCATAATCTCTGCCTGCACGTGTGCTAAGTCACGTCAGTCATGTCTAACTCTGCAATGCCATGGATTGTGGCCCACAAGGCTGCTCTGTCCATGGGATTCTCCAGGCAAGAATACTGGAATGGATTGCCAGGCCCTTTTCCGGGAGATCTTCTGTCTCAGGGATCAAACCTGGGTCTTCCACTTTGCAGGCAGAATCTACTGTCTGAACTACCAGGGAAGCCCCTATGTATAATCTCTATTGGTGTAAATCTGTTTAAAGGCCTTATTTTATGGCCTGGCTAGTTGGTCTTGAGTTTGAGTGAACAATTTTCGATGAAAAATTAGGTCTTAAAAATCTAACAAAACTAGATTCTAGAATTTGATGGCACTGTTTATTAAAAATAAGACTCTAGCTATTATTATGCCTTCTGATTATTTTATGCTTGAATACATTATTGAAAAGCAGTGGATAGTTGATGAAATAAAGTGCTGTACCTAGGATTATAATTCATGAGAATATAAGATACTTGCCAACCATTGACATTGAAACAAATTGTAAATTAATTTCACTTTTATGCAGCTACATGTTTTAAAAAGAATAAATAAAAAATAGTTCAAGAAAGCTTAAAAGATATAACAGCTACTTGGATTGAATACACACTTTAGGAATATTTTTTTGCTTACAGGAGAATCAGTAGCTTAATTTATAACCTCATTTATCTTGCTCTGCCTCCACAGATCTGTTTGGAAACTTTTTCTATCTGTAATACTTTTAAAAGTTAAACATCCAGACTTTACAAGTTTTGGTAGTAGTTTTATGAAATATAATTAGCAAGAATTTTCTGGTTTAAAATAGCACATGTCTAGTTACTGCAGCCTTTTCTCATTAACAGTAAAATATAAAGACCTAAAAAAGACAAAACTGAAGAATACCAAAAACCAGTTTCAATCTACAGTGGCAAAAATTGGGGGAGGAATTTTATATATTACATATCAAGATTGGTGTTTGTATAAATGAATTGAATGGAATGAAAATTTCAATCAGCAGTCCATCTTTTTTATGTCCACATGAAAGCAGAGAGCGTGTATCTTTGTTTCTTCATGTCTTAGTTCGCTTCAAAAAGAAAATGTTACCCTTTAGGAAGCTAGCATGCTATCTCCTTAAACCTATCAATAGCAATAACCAGCTAGTTAAGAAAACAGTGGGACAAAAAGTAGACAGGAAACCTGGCACCATGTAAAAAATTAACCTGAGATATATTTCTCGTGAAATGAATATAGAAACATTGATGGGTATGTCAGCAGGGAGTTTAGAGACAAATGGTAGCAGAGGGAGCTTCCCACCTCAGCCAGAAGGGCATCATGGATGAGCATCAGGCAAGGAGCTATGCACATCAGACTTTTAGCCACAGAGCTATAGGGGGTTCACCAAGAACATAAGTAGACAGAGAACAAAGCTAGGTTCCTTCAAATACTTTGTTTTCTGACACTGAGCCTGGATAGAAGCCACATCATTTGAGGATTAATAAACAGAAAATTGTCAAATACAGCAAAACAGGAGAAAAATAGAGCATAGAACCTAAGAAAAAATACTGGGGAACAAAACAATGGGGGATAGACTTAGAAGAAATAGGTGCTTTGAAAGTAGCAGTTTATTTCTAAAGACTGGAAAAAATGTTTCACGTCACCAGTGTCTTTCAAAATGATCTATCCTCTTTAAGTGGGATTATATATTTATAAAGGAAGAACTGGCTAATATGAAAGGACAATCGCAAGTGTTGTGGAAGAAAAAAGGATTTGATTTTTAAAGTGCAGGATTATAATGCAATCTGAATCAGAGATACTGAGGAGCAGGATTTCTACTATGTATGAATAAAATCAGAAATGTGCTGAATAAACTTGAGAAGTCCTTTCAGAATGTTGAGGAAAAGGACTAAGAGTTGAATAATATGACTCTTAAATAGAAATAAAAACAGAATGGAACTTTAAGGTTTACAGGTATATAACATATATAGGTGCTCAACAAAAACAAAAGAAATAGGCGAAGATATAATTGAAGAAAACTGTACTAGAGAGGAAAAACAAACTGTCCATAGTGAGCAAATCCAGCAAGATCAGTGAAGGGAGAACTTCATCTAAACACATTCTGTATGAAATTTCAAATTACTTGTATAAGGGGAAAAAACTCCACAGCATACAGACTAAACCAGTATATTGTAAACAGGGAGAAAATCAGACTGGTACCAAACTTCTCAGGAATGCTAAAAGCTGGAAAGGAATTGAAGTGGATGTTTGTCATATTTTGGCTCTTAGGGTCTGAACATTTACCCTAATTTGGAGAGGAATTCTTTACTACTTTTTTTTAAATAGGAGTATACATGCTTTACAGTGTTGTTGGTTTCTGCTTGTACAAGGAAGTAAATCATTTATATGCATACATGTTATCTCCTCCCTCTTGAATCTCCATCCCACCCATCTAAGTCATCACGGAGCACTGAACTCAGCTCCCTGTGGTTTACTGAGGGTTCCCACTAGCTGTCTATTTTGCACATAGTAGTGTATATATGTAAAACCTAGTCTTCGAATTCATCTCACCCTTCCCTTCCCCCCACCCCCAGGTCTACACGTTCATTCTCTATATCTGTGTCTCTATTCCTGCCCTGAAACTAGGTCCATCTGTACGTTTTCTAGATTCCTCATTCATATGTTAATTTACAATATTTGTTTTTCTCTTTCTGACTGACTTCACTCTGCGTGACAGATGCTAGGTTCATCCATGTCTCAACAAATGACCCAATTTCATTCTTTTTTATGGCTCAGTAATATTGTATTGTATATATGTACCACATCTTTATCCATTCATCTATTGATGGACACTTTGTTTCCATGTCCTGGCTGCCGTTAATAGTGCTTCAGTGAACATTGGGATTTATCTATCTTTTGGGATTATGGTTTTCTCAGGGTGTATACCCAGTAGTAGAATTGCTGGAAAACAAATTTATGGTTATCAGGGAATAAGGGAGAGGGAAAGATAAATTGGAAGATTGGAATTGACATATACATGCTACTATACATAAAATAGATGACTTGTAAAGACCTACTGTATAGCATAGGGAATTTTACTCAATACTCTGTAATAACCTACATGAGAAGTGATCTAAAAATATAAAAAAAAGAAATATAAATATATGTATAACTGATTCACTTTGCTGTACGCCTGAAACTAATAAACACTGTAAATCAACTATATCCCAATAATTTTTTTTTTTTAAAG